AAAAAAAGTTTGGTACAATCATACGGGACGAGCAGACACTGGTAGATATCTTGGGCGATGAGCATTTAGCGGGGCATGCAAAATCCGTGTACCTTAGTATCCTTATAGGTGAGGAGTCAGGGATTCGAGAGGGTGATAAAAGAGATGGCCGCGCTATTAGCGCGCGCCTCAACCGCAGCAAGGCTTAGAGCGCTCATAGTCCTGAGAAACCTGCGGCTGAGACCAAACAAAGGGTCGCCGAATTTTGCGTGGCCCTGGAGGGCTTAGCTAGGAAAGGGAACCCTCAATGCAGTATTGAGCGATCCATGGATCGCGCGCAGATACTCTTAGATAATTTGAGAGACTGGTCGGAGTATGTGCAGCTAGTAGGAACGCCTCATAAAGTAGATCCGAGGAATGTCCGCAACGAAATAAAAGAGGTAGCAATAGAAATGGAGCCAAAAAGACTGTGCAGGTGGGACCGAAGAGAACAACGACAAAGCTTTCCGAAGAAAGAGGAAAGATTCGCGCATAGCAGGCATTTACGGAATAGCAGCCCAGAAAGGGAGAGGCGCAGTGGAGAAGAAAGGGAGGCGCCGCAACCAACGAGGAACACGGACGCTGTTCGAGGTGCTCCAGACAAAGGAAGGAGATGCTACGAGTATGGTCGCTTCGCGTACGAGACTGTACTAACAAGACAGAAAATGACCTCACCAGCGAGACATTGGGTCCAGTAACATCCATGGTGGACAGAGCAAGGAACTGATGAAAAGCGCTCGGGATAGGACAGATGGGATGATCGGAGACAAGACACTACCACCAGCAAGAGTTTTGAACATTTGAATAGCAGCGCTGATAGATATCGATGATCCCATCAAGATACTTGCAGATGCAAAGGACAGGTTTTACGACATCGCCCTAGAGGTTCTAGAGGTAGAGGAAGGAAGTATTTACAATGCATCAAACAATGTCATGAAGTTCCTAGGAAGTGTGAGAGTAGAAATAGAAGTAGAGGAAGGACATCGAAGCAAAGCGGCATTTTATGTGACCAAGGACGGAGATGAAGTGCTGTTGGGAACAAACACGCTCAAGAGCTTGGGCATCACAGCAACGTTTCAGAAAGCGAGGACGGAGGCGACGGAAGAGTACTGGAACGAGCTGTCATACCTCCTTGCCAAATGAAGATAATTCGGATCAAATGCAAAGAAGAGCAAAAGGGGAGGACAGAAAAAGCCTTGTGGTCACCAAGGAAAGAGGTGTCAAGTGGTATCTTCACCATAAATGAAGCGGAGGCAAAGGTACCGGTGGTCAACACAAGCACAGAACCTTTGATACTGCACAAAGAAGAGGAAGTAAGTACATGGGGGACGAATAAATGGTATGAGTCCATGTTGGATTCGGGAGCCATGATGTTGGATAGCGGTTGGTGGAACGCGCAAGAAAGAGACAAACAGTCCGTACTACAGGATTAAACCAGGGAGCACAGAGAATCGAAAACGTTAGAAGCAGACATCACAGAAGTTTCAAACTTCAAGGACGCTTTCGCAGTTAACGAAAAGGAGCTGATACAGACAGATCTGGTAAAACTGCACATTAATAAAGGCGACCATGCACCAATTAAGACGAAGCGAGGCCAGTGCCTTTGTGTATTAGGGCGAAGCCATGGAAGGCCTTTGGGAATCAACTTTTATGACAAAGTTCGGCCAAGCAAAACAAAAAGATGTTGCCGGTGTGGTCGAAATGGGCATGTTGTGGAAGACTGCAGGATGACACAAGAAAACGTTCACTCAAAAAGGTCGAATTCAGGAAGAATACGCGGAGAAGATTTGATGCTGAATAGTTCACGAACTGCGGGAGGTTCAGAAGAAAAAGTGAAAAAACTGGGAGAAGATGATATCTCTTCAAAGGCAAATACAACTCCAGCAAGGGCAAAGATCCAGCAAGGTCTCGCAGCTGTAAAAGATCTACAGCCTGTAAGATAAGAGACACGTCTGCGAATGTTGAGAAGAAGAGAACTTATGACAGAAAAAGAAGAAATGCCCAAGCAGCAGAGAAAGAAAAAACAATTGATTTAAGAGAAACACATGAGCACAAGCTGAACAAGTCCATATGTAGTAAAGGCATCAAGAAACTGAACTCATTTAGAAATTTCAACCCAAGAAGAGTATGCGAAGAGGCACAAAAAGTAGCTAAAGTCGAGAAGACACACGCAGAGAAAAGACAAATTTCTGAGGAGGAACGTCCTGTTGCGTTTATTTCACCGAGATGTG